CTGATGACCCAGCGGCCCCGCCCCCTGATGACCCAGCGGCCCCGCCCCCTGATGACCCAGTGGCCCCGCCCTGAATCCAACAGGTCAGGTCTTGGTTTCAGCCAAATGTAGCAGGATTCAGTCTGCTGCATCTTTACATTTAATTTAAAACCCAACCGGGGATGAAGAGAACAGAAGCTATGGCCCATCTAGAGCTTCAACATTTGAATCTGTGAACAGATTCAACATTTGAACGATTGTATCATTCTGAGTGTTGTTCTTAAATCTGTTAAACCAATAAAAAGTTCTGAGTAATAGCCTTAAAGCAGTCAGTCCTGCGTGGACGAAATAAACTAATCAAAATCATTTTCTGGAAAAGGAAGCAGCTGAAACAGGATTCACTTCTTTTTTCTTGTTCTCTCAGTTTTGGCCTTTTGGAAAAGTTTCCATTTCTTGCATGATGTTGAGTTAAAGTTCAGACCCAAACCACGTCAGAAAACTCAGTTTCCATGGAAACATCAGCAGTGATGAAGCGATGGAAAACGCTGCAGCTGCTTCCCATCCAAACCTTTTTCAGTCACTGAGCCCAGAATGTTTTCCTTCATTCTTGAATGTCCAGCGGAAATCAGAATATCTGGACGGATTTTAAACAAATGAAGATAATCAACCTTAGTTTGTCTGTGGAAACTCTTCCTGCTGGGCGCTGTCTGTGAGATGAAGCTCCACTTCTCCAAAGTATCAGGAATCTCGGTCCAAATCCTCTTCATTCTGGAACTTTTAGGCTCCTTCTTTCTTGTTTATGACTTATTGAAGACACTGCCTCATCCTGCACTCTGACCTCTGTTTCTAAAGCTCAGCTGCATTAATGCAGACATGGATGGAGCTCATGGACCCAAATGTTTGCATGAAGGTGACAGAAAGGCATCGTGCTGGTGGGACCAGAGTCAGGAAGAACCCATCAGCCTCATGATTTTGTTGTGCAGAATCTCAGATTAAAGTGCAGTTTGAATCCTCCTACTGACTGAAAGTTGAACTTATTTGGAGCAGTTTGACCTCCGACCTGCAGCTACTGTGTGGGCGTACCCAAAGACATGCAGCAGATAGTTAAAGCCCAAGTTTTACGGTTGGTGCAGGCTTCCCCCTGCTGGCAAATTTTAGCTGCTACAGCTAAACCGACATACTTATGATGACTTTCTTATCTTGTTGGGTTTTTTAAATGGTTCATTATGGCATTTGGATCAAATGGAATCAGATTCCAGGAGTCTGATTCTGAAAAAAGTGACTGCAGTCTGCACAGGAAATGATGTGACTGATCAGAAGGTAATGATGAACCAATCGATTGGTGTGGTCTGTCAGTTAAAATACCAACCAACCGCAGCCCTTCCTGGAGAAGGTCCAGCAGGGGAGAAGTAGGAACAGACGGTTCATTTATCAGCAGATTACAAAAAATATTTTTTGGAAGTCATTTATGTTTTTTCAACTGGATTTGGACTATTTTGCTCCACTGAATCCAAAAATGACATCCATTTTTCTGAATCAGGTCAGGTTTTTATTCTAATCCGATCTTCTGACTAAATTATCACTTAATTTCTGTTAATATTTCTCATTCAAAAAGATTTTAGGAGAAAAACATGTGTTCTATCAGAGTGTGTTAGTTCAATGTTACAAAATTTGATTTCTGTAAATTGCCCAATAAACACTAAGTATGTGCATGTAATTGAACATTATATCTTCATTGTGCTAAATTCTCTGTCTCTGTTGGTCCTGGTGGAGTCTCTCCTCCTGCTCTTCACTCATTGATCCTCAGGAAACTGATCCACATGTGAAAATGTTCTTTGATGCTCATGTTGCATCCATAGTTCAGAAAGTTGACCTGATTGAGTAAAACCAATGTGATTTTTGGATTCAGATCATCACAATTACCCTAAAACAGGTGAAAAACCCCACACTGAGCTACATTTAAACTTTGGGAAGTTGAGCCATGAAGAAAAGTGTATTTGCTTAACTGAAGCAAATGCTGCTCCCTAGTGGCCAGTCTGAACATACCAGGTTTGCGCCTCAATGAAATGACTTGGTTAGAGAATCCAATTCCTTGAATCTGCACTGTGCTAATGAACCAAATCTGAGCTGCTTAACAGATTTTCTATGGTTCTGTTGTGGTTCCTCTTGTTCTGGTCTTGTCCCATCTATCTGCTGCGCTCTCAGTCTCTAACCTGCAGGCTAACTGCTAACTGTTGAGCCCTGCTGCTGTTAAAGACAATGATTAATTGTCAACTCTGAGCTATTCAGAAAAACAAAGTATTTGAACCTTTGACATTAAAAATGGATAAACCTCTGCTGCAGAATTGTATCCAGCTCTAAAACCTCGGAAGCCTGTCTTTAAAGAATTAAAACTTAACCGTTTAACTACAGAACATGCTGAGACAAGATCACTTTCATATTTTTATCAGATGCTATTGCTCCTGTTGTTTACTGGTTGTCTTTCTTTAGAGACAGAACAGTTTTCAGTGTTTAGAACCAAATATTAGGGGCGGCTGCTGCATCTCAGACTGCTGTTCCATATGAAACAGTTTTAATAGATTAACAGCAGCTATTAAAACCTGTGCAATTAGCAGATTTAGGATCTGAGCATCAACCATCAGCAGTGTTAGGGATTTACAGAAACCAGCCAGAAATGCAGTGGATGGCTCAAAAATATTCTTAATTTATTACAAAAAATCAAAAATGTTTAAAAAAATGGTGAATTGGGCCAAAAACAAAGGCTAACATAATAGACCTCAACTTACAAGCAGGTAAACAGAAAGTTTGTTGTAAAGGAACATGCAAAGACATGAGAGTCAGCGGTTTTAACAGGATGAGCCAATTTATTAGGGAGAGCGTTCTTAAATCAATCACTCAATAAATAAATAGCTTTTAGGTCTTTAAGTTTCTGCTCATCAAACAACGATTCCCATCGTCATCAACTCTTCTTCTGTCTCTTTCAGCTGATTTCTGATGAAGTTCTGAAGAGATGAAGATCAGCAGTTTTTGAGGCTTCCTTCATGTTTTTGTGGTGTTAGCAGCTCTGAGGTGGAGCAGGGGTTTCGTAGCAAACGTGTTTCCCACCAATGTGCCTTCAGGAGTTTTTGTGTGTGTTGAAGCTTTGTGCAGACATGAAGGAGTGTGTTTTTACTCAGCCTGGTTTTAATCTGTTTCTGAATGTTAAACTGTTTCTGTTGATGCTGCAGCTTTACTTTATCTGCTCTGATTTTGTTTTAATTTAAAACAGGGAATAAAAGTGTGAAATAAGTTTTGTTCTTGTCATTAATTTAAAATTTTAGTTCACCTAGTTAAAAGTTTCAGCAGTTTTAGCTTTCCCAACTAAGACACAGAGAATGTGGGATGTTAAAGTGTTAAAGACGGCTAATGGCTCAGCACTCATTGTCGTTCAGGGAGCTGAACCTGATCAGAGATCAGCAGCACAGTCTTCTCACGCTACTCCAGGTTTTCATCCAACTCTCCAGAAGCTCCCAGCAGAGCAGCTGGCTGTCTGCAAACTGCTCTTCAACTTTGATGGCCTGGATGAAAGCAGACTTTCACTGGACTTTACTGCAACTATCATCAGGAGGTTCCTAGTAACATTCATCCATTTTCTTTCACTAGGTGCTGATGCCCCTAAGGAGAGAGAGGTATCAGCAGCACCCCTTCTCCCCTAAAGAGTTTGGGAGGGGTGCACGAAAGTTTTAGTTGCTACACACATAAATCCAAAGAGCAGAAAATAAATGTATTTGTGATAATGTTCCTATCTTGTTTTTTTAAATGGCTCATTATGGGATTTGGGTCAATAATCATCCACTCAGATTGAAGGAGACTGATTCTGAAAGATCCAATCACACTCACATTCATACTCTGATATGCTGATCAATTTACAACTTGGGATTAAGTGCTGTGCCCATGGGCACATCAACATGTGACAAACCACACATTTTGGATTGTAAGACAGTGCTCTGCAGTCCCAGCCAGAACTGTTGAGTTTATTGTTTCTGAACTATTTTCCAACCAGAGGTGCTCTGTACTGTGGTTGGAAAGCTTTTTGATGTTGGCCATGTTGTTTCTGGTGTGTCTGTTGCTCAGAAATACATTGATAAATCTCACCTAGATTAAGCATTAGCCCTTTTTATGGCTGTGGCACTGAAAGAATTAACTCACACATTATTTCCAGGTTTCTCTGGCTGTTCAAAAGGCCGTCCTGTTTCACTGGGTGGTGGACGTCAGGTGAGTCTTAGATAAACATTTTCATGTTTAGGTGATTTATGTGTTTGACCAAAGCATTTTTTCAGCATTACAGAAAGCAGCAAGTTGCTCACATACATGAACCGATGTCTCTGGTTTTCTTCGAACTAAGTCTTGATCTCAGTAATAATTTTCATTTCTGCTAAAAATCAATCCAAACGTGAAATCTGCAGCTCTGTCCTTCTTTTCCTCAGAACCGGTTCTGCCATCAAATCAACATCCTGCCATGAAATCTGATCGCTGAGATAAAACAAACACTGGAATAATATTTGATATGACATTGGACTTTGGAATAACAGTCTTTTATTATCTTTGTATGACAGGTTATTAAATAAAAACTCATGTCTTGAGTCCTGCTGTTTCATTCAACCTGATGTGTCAGATCCAGGCCTTGTTTATTACTGTTTTGATCTATTTTATCTTTAATGCCACCTTTACAAGGTGGAAACAGTTCAGAGTTCATCTCATGTGGGCAGAGCAGGAAGAGTAAAGTCAGGTAATAGTTCATCTGCACTGACTCATTAATGAACCTGTAAGCTGTAGAGAAGGACATACAATCTGTTAGTCATATTTCTTGTTTTGCACATTGTAGTCTGTTTTTGTTCCAACCTGGACTGACTGAAGATGAGTCTTTGTAAGGGACAGGACAACAAAACTGTGTCTTCAGCACCCAGCTGCCCGTCGATGAGGAGTGACCACTCCAACATTCTCCCTCCGCTGTTCAGTGATGAACTTGGACCTTCAGACACGAAGTAAGAAACTTTCTGCTGTGAACCAAGCTGGAGATTTCTCATTTCACCTTAATTTCTTGATCACTGACACACCTGAGCTTCAGGTGTTTCACCATTTGTAAAAGATAGAGTGAAGGATGACATGAGGAGTTTGGGATGTTTTGTTCACTTGTGAAGGCAGAGAACCGATCTTCCAGAATCCAGTACAGACAGTATCTACCAGTAGACTGCAGTTCACTATATTTCCAGTTAAACATTGCATTCATACATTTTGATAGTATTGAGATCCGTGATCATATTTCATTGCTTGAAACCAAGTTTTATGATGTCATGTCACAGAATTTTTTGTGTGTAATTTTCCTGTAAAATCGACACAGACCACTACTGTTGCTATTTACCGTGTTTCATTGTCTTTTTTCTCTGTATGTTCAGAGGGAAAAGCAGCAGCCATGTTCCTGAGGTGGATGACATGTCGTGCTGCGCGGTGTGTCAGAACCTCCTGATGTATCCAGTGTTGGCCAGCTGCGGACACTGGTTCTGCAGACAGTGCATGATCGCATACTGGGACAAGTCAACTCCATGCGCCCCCTGTCTCCAGTGTGTAGAACTGTTCACACCCCCTACTGGACCTCAGTCAGCCAATCAGAGCAGCTCTGGAGAAGGTAAGGCTGACTACATTCACCTTCCTGATGAACAACAGCTATGAAGCAATCTGCTCATTCAGTGATGAATTCAGTGGTATGGATAATGGCAACCCTCCTGTTCTATAGGTTCTGGAGGTTCTTCTGAAACTTAAATCTATCTGCGCTTGTATGTTCTGGTCATGTTTGCTTCACAGAGCTACCAACGCCCAGAGGGATTCACAGAATGGTGGAGCATTGTTGCTGAAGCATCTCTTGTGTAAAAAAAAAAAAAAAATTTCTATACCTTTTTGCTTTTGTCTTTCACCAGGTTTTAGTCTTCAGGAGGATTTAGACAAACACAGGAACCAACTGAGGAGGAGATGTAAATATATAACTGAAGGAGCTGATGAATTAGGAGCCAGAACTGTCCTCAACAGCATTTACACCGAGCTCTACATCACAGAGGGATGGAGTAAAGAGGTTAATACCCAACATGAGGTGAAGCAGCTGGAGAGAGCTTCCAAGATCCAGAACCTCCATGACTCTCCAATCAGGTGCCATGACATCTTTAAATCCTTCCCTGACCAACATGGAGCCATCAGAGTGGTTCTGACCAACGGCGTCGCTGGTGTTGGAAAAACCTTCTCAGTGCAGAAGTTCACTCTGGACTGGGCCGAGGGCTTGGAGAATCAAGATGTCAGTGTGGTGGTTCTGCTTTCGTTCAGGGAGCTGAACTTGATCAGAGATGAGCAGCACAGTCTTCTCTCACTGCTCCATGTTTTCCATCCAACACTCCAGAAGCTCCCAGCAGAGCAGCTGGCTAAATGCAAACTGCTCTTCATCTTTGATGGCTTGGATGAAAGCAGACTTTCACTGGACTTCAACAACAGTCAACTGGTTTCTGACGTCACACAGAAGTCATCAGTCAACGTTCTGCTGACAAACCTCATCAAGGGGAACCTGCTTCCCTCGGCTCTTATCTGGATAACTACCAGACCTGCAGCGGCCAATCAGATCCCTCCTTCATGTGTTACCAGGGTAACAGAAGTACGAGGCTTCACCGATGCCCAGAAGGAGGAGTACTTCAGGAGGAGGTTCAGTGATGAAGAGCTGTCCAGCAGAATCATCTCCCACATCAAGAAATCAAAAACTCTCCACATCATGTGTGGAATCCCAGTCTTCTGCTGGATCACTGCTACGGTTCTGGAGAACATGTTGACCTCAGAGCAGAGAGGAGAGCTGCCCAAGACCATGACTGACATGTACTCACACTTCCTGCTGGTCCAGACAAAGAGGAAGAAGAACAAGTACCATGGAGGACATGAGACAAGTCCACAGGAGCTGATGGAGGCTGACAGGGAAGTTCTTCTGAAGCTGGGGAGGCTGGCGTTTGAACATCTGGAGAAAGGAAACATCATGTTCTACCAAGAAGACCTGGAGCAGTGTGGTCTGGACGTCACAGAGGCCTCAGTGTACTCAGGAGTTTGTACAGAGATCTTCAAAAGAGAGAGTGTGATCTTCCAGAAACCAGTTTACAGCTTTGTTCACCTGAGCGTCCAGGAGTTTATGGCTGCAGTTTACATGCTCCACTGTTTCACCACCAGGAACTCAGAGGTGGTGAAGGACTTCCTGGATGGTTCACCCAACACCCATGTTAGGAGAGACTTAAAAATGGAAGACGGTAACTTCACTCTAGACTGTTTCCTGGAGAGAGTCATGATGAAATCTCTCCAAAGTAAAACTGGGCATCTAGACATGTTTGTTCGCTTCATTCATGGCCTTTCTCTGAAGTCAAACCAGAAGCTCCTGGGAGGCCTTGTTGATCAAACAGAGAACAGTCCAGAGAACATCTATAAAATCATCAACAACCTGAAGAAGATGAACACCAATAAAATGTCTCCAGATAGAAGCATCAACATCTTCTACTGTCTGATAGAGATGAATGATCTCTCAATTCAACAGGAGATCCAGGAGTTTCTGAGGATGGAGAACCGATTAGAGAGGGAGCTCTCAGAGATCCACTGCTCGGCTCTGGCCTACATGCTACAGATGCTGGAGGAGGTTCTGGATGAGTTAGACCTGGATATGTTCAACACATCAAAGGAGGGGAAAATGAGGCTGATCCCAGTGGTGAGGAACTGCAGAAAGGCTCGGTGAGATCATAGAATCAATATTAAGTCATAGAAAATGTTTCCTATTTGGAGAGACTGATTGAGTCAGTTTTTAGGATGTGGTGGCACTGGTTGCCTGTCTTTAACAGAAGAGAGCAGCAGAAGAACATATAAGTTGGAATGGGCTGTAACATGAACTCAAAGTGTGTATACAAGATACACCAGCTTACCTCACTGAGGTCTGCAGCCCACCAACCTGTACGTATGAACTAAAGAAGACTCAATTGAGCCAATTCACAACACATGTACAGAAGCATTTAACTGCCAGAGCTTGGAAATTCAGGAGAATCTCAATATAACGAGGTATAAAATGCGTCTTGTTGCTACAAGAACATATCAATGAGACGAGTTGCTACTTTCTACTTTGCTACATGAAGGCTTCTCATTATAACAAGGTATAAAACTTGTTAAAATGAGAAAGTTTCTTTTTAAAACAAGGAAGTTTTAACAAGAAACTATTAATAAAAAAGTTTTATATCTCATTACAGCAATAAATTTTCTTGTTTTATCAAGAAACTTTGTTCAGAAAATCAATTTATTTATTAAAATATGCTCCTGTGATAGAATACAACTTGTTAAGGAGAGATAGATAAAGGAGCTCCTTCTGACTCTCCGTCTTCTTACTTTGTTTCTTCCAGACCACATCTAAAAATCCCTGGAGGTGTTACTGTTATGATCTTTGTTATATAAAAGAGAAATATTTTGGATTTAATAAGTTATAGGTCTTTCTATAATGAGCTTTTCAAAGCCTTTAAAAAGAGACGGTTTATCATTTTAATAAGTTTTGCATGTTTTTATAGTGAAAAAGTTTTCGGTAACACTTTATTTGAAGGGGGTTGAATAAGACTGTCATGACACTGTCATAAACATGTCATAACACCTGTCATGAACATGAATAAGCCTTCATGAATATTTATGACTGTTGTCATAAAGCGTCATTCGGTAAATTCTGACACTTTTAATACAAAGTTGACATTATTCAAAATGTCTTTGTTATGACAACTTGACATTAGTCAAGAAATCATTACTGATCAAACTTTACCTTTAATAACATAAAGTTACCTAATTTTTAAAGTGAAATCAGTAATTATTTTATAACAAATTTATATCAGTAATAATTATAATAATAATAATTTGTTATAAAATAATTACTGATTTCACTTTAAAAATTAGGTAACTTTATGTTATTAAAGGTAAAGTTTGATCAGTAATGATTTCTTGACTAATGTCAAGTTGTCATAACAAAGACATTTTGAATAATGTCAACTTTGTATTAAAAGTGTCATAATTTACCGAATGACGCTTTATGACAACAGTCATAAATATTCATGAAGGCTTATTCATGTTCATGACAGGTGTTATGACATGTTTATGACAGTGTCATGACAGTCTTATTCAACCCCCTTCAAATAAAGTGTTACCAAGTTTTCTTGTTAAAGAAATACTGCTCCTGAATTTCTTTCAAAGCCCTGGCTTAAAATCGTCTGCACATGTCATCTCAAGGCACTTTACAAAAAATAAAGTCATTTCAATCCAAACATCCATCAATTCCAGTTAGCACTAGTTATCAAACAGTTCAGCTCATTATTCATACTGGTTTAAAAGGGTTTGTTTCTAAGGAAACTCAACATGTTGCATTCATTCTTTGACTTGCAGCTTCCCCTCATAGATAAGAATGTCTCATATAAAAGAGTTGTAATAACATGCATCATTTTATCTGTGACACTGAAGCCTGGTCGGCTGTCGCCTCTCGGAGACCCACTGTGAAGTTGTTGCCTCGGCTCTGATGTCCAGCCGCTCCCAGCTGGTAGAACTGGACCTGACTGGAAACGTCCTGCCTGGCCCAGGAGTGAAGCTCCTATGTGACGGACTCGCAAGTCCATACTGTAAACTGAAGACACTGAGGTCAGTTCCCTAAATATTTTGGTTTGTTTTAAATTCTCAGTTTGAACTTCATGAACTTTTGGGTCCGAAAGCGTCTAACTGTATGAGCATAGTGGCATGGAGACAATACCTGAGCTCTGGGCAGGATTTACGTTATTTCTGACAAAGTGAAACTTACAACATCCTTTCTTTTTGTTGTTCTTTTTGACGTCGTAGGTATGTTTTGAGCTGTTTGTCAATGTGAACAGCAGCTCCCAATAAACTGGTATATATTGACAATCAGATTAAAATCTTAAATTCTGTTTAATTATCTGATTAGATGTTTTTATTTTCTGTGCAGACTGAGAGGCTGCAGGCTGTCAGAAATCAGCTGTGACAGTCTGGTTTCTGCTCTCATGTCAAACCCTTCTCATTTGAAACATCTGGACATGGGTCTGAACAATAAGCTGCAGGATTCTGGCATGAAACTGCTTTGTGCCTTTCTAGAAAATTCAGAAAGTAGACTCAAGACACTCAGGTCAGCTCACAAAGTTCATTTTATTGTTCTTCCTCTCGCCTTTGTCAAACAAACAAGCAAAATCTAACCTGCTTTGACAGAAAATGTTTTTCTTTGCTTAGATTGCTAGAATGTAGCTTAACTGGAGTAGCCTGTGCTTATTTGGCCTCGGCTCTGAAGTCCAACCCCTCCCATCTGACACATCTGGACATGAGTGGGAACAACCTTGAGGACTCAGGTGTGAAGCACCTGTGTGCTTTCATGGAGACTCCTAACTGCAAACTGCAGAAACTGAGGTAAGGTCACCATCTTCCTGTTAGCAACCTTACACATTAACTAATCTAAGATCAGATCATCTAAATGTGATGGGAAAGGAAAAAAAAAAGTGAGGATTTTCACTGGGAGAAAAAAGCCCCACATCAAAATGCTGCCACCACCATACTTGACAGTTGGTACAGGTCTGACGATGTGTCTGAAAATCAAATGTGTCCTGTTGTTCATCAGTCTGTGGGGCTGCAGGCTGTCAGGAACCAGCTGTGCTTCTATAGTCTCAGCCCTAAACACCAACCCGTCTCTTCTGAAGCGTCTGGATCTGAGAGACAACAACCTGCAGGATTCAGATGTGGAGCAGCTGCTGGATCTGGTGGAGAGCCCACAATTCAGACTGCAAAGGCTGAGGTGAGCATGGGGGTCTTTCTGCCTTCACATAAAATAAATGGAGAATGGAAGCAGTTATTTATCATTACTGTTCTCTCATCTTTCCTCTGCAGGTGGAAATGATTATCCTTGTACAGATGAAAAGGAGGCTAAAATGGACAGTCGACTGACAGGAAAGACTTATTTAGTTTGTGTGTTTATGTGAACCATTTTTTTATATACTTGTGGGGACCTATTCTGTCTACACTGTGAGGTTGTGAGGATCACTGCTTCAGGGGTTAAACTGTAGAAATGAATGGAAGTCGATGTAAAGTCTCCACAAGACACAAAAACATGACTGTGTGTGTGTGTGTGTGTGTGTGTGTGGCGGTAGTAGCTCTACTGCATCTCACAATGTGTCATAGATGCTGCCCGTTAATATATTTGCATTGTTCCTCTGATCCTGAAGTTGCTCTGTCAGAAATGCTAACGCTGAAGGTTGAGAAACGTTTAAGCTCCTCCCTGTAGGAACAAACCATACCTGACGGTGTTGAATCCATTAAAGTTAAAAACAAGTCTTTAAACTTAATTTCTATAATATTTCAGAAGGAAAAACCTTACAGTCCATTTAAATAAGCTTATTTAATTATTTCATCATAATGAAAATCTCGCACAATAAATTATTCTTTCATTTTTAATGCCAGACTGGCTCAAAGTGTTTAAGAAGTTGTGTTTTTCAGTGTGGCTCAGTTACTGAATTAAAGGATTTCAGGGCCCATTTTCAATTCTTGTTAAATTAAAAATGGACTATTTTAATGCAACAAAAAGAACAGGTTGTTGTAGCTCCAAAAATGGTCTCACACATTTGCTTTAAAAGGTTTACAGTCTCCTGAGTTTTTTGGTCTAAAAGTATTTTTAATTTATTTCCAGCAACAAAAGAGAGAATGTTTTTCTGTTTCTGCTTAAAAGGTTGCTGGATGATTTTGACCCGTCACATTAAGCTGAAAGTAAGAACACAGCTATTCAAAGAAAAATAAGAACTGAGGTCAGATGCCACACAAATTCATTCCAAGGGCTGTGTTGCATTTACTACTCATGGGGTCTGAGTGCAGGGAGCCTCCCAACAAAGATGTGCCCCTTTGTGGGGTCCAACATCCCAGACCCCACACTGCTTAGGAGCATTTCCTAATGTGTCTTCTGCTTTTTCCCCTACCCATTGGGGAAAAAGCAGCCCAAGGAGACTAGTGGTAGCAACTAAAAAAATGTGTTTAAGTGTGTGCTCTTCCCCTCGGTGAAGGCAGATGCTTCTTCCCTCTGCTCCCTCCCTGTCCTTGCCTGCCCTGCTTGCTCTGTTTTTGTCCTGTCTTTTTCTGTTTTTCTATATTTTTGGAGCCTTTCTTTGCACATCATCCAAATCTACAAATTATGGATCTGGTCAACCGATCTCTCAATGCAATGGATCAAATTTTCGACGAGAAGTCTGGGCACAGGAGAGCCTCTTGTCCTGCGGGGACACACCCGGTGGGATTCACCCTGCATTTATTCATGTTAACAGGATTTCTGCTGTT